TCTTGTAAATCTATAATATGGTAAAATAAAAATAATATTATTAAAATTTTATGTAATATTATAAGCATACAATATAATATATGGTTATATAAATAATTATTTTTATTTAAAATTTATACATAATATTATATATATTTAATAATACATTATATTAATTTAGTATCATACTAAAATTATAAAATTATAATTTTTATAAAAGTAACATTAATTAGTGTATGGAAAAAATAAAAAATTTCCCCCAATTTCTTAAAAGAAAAAATTCGTTGATCAAAGGGGAATTAGATACAAAGAGGAGGAACCCGTTAGGTCTGTCTAATGTTGACTAAGACAAAACAGAGGGTTAGTTTAGTACTTTTGTTATTTATGAAAGAGAAAACTATTCATTCAAATAGGAGAGTAGCTAGGGAACCAGATATAAATTTAAGGAGGAGATTACATAATCAAAGTCTGAGGTATATTGAGCAAAGAGGTAGAGAAACAAAAGGTAGTAATGGAGGAGACATCATCAAGGAAAGAGATGACAAAGCCAGGAGCTCCTGCTGCCATAATCAACTACCCTTCATTTCTTCAGGTGGCTCTTAAGGCTATTCTCAAGTGTTTGGGCATTGAAAACATGATGCAACAAAACCCTTGCACGGACGGCAAAGTTAATGAAGCAGCTGCAGCTTGTTGCCCTGAATTTTCAGCTACTGATCAACAAGCTGCAGATCCTCCAACAATAACAGCCACAGATCCACCAACAGACGCTCAAGCTGATCCTCCTACCTCTTCCACCACGGTAAGCTTTCTTTCTCCTTTCTTTAATTATATATATCATGTATAGTGAATTATTGATCATAATCTACTGTTGTTTTTACCACGTTTAAACATCATGGAATCTCAATCTTGTACGTCTTAAATGAACAGGCATAAATAAGTAGACCTTTTTTTTTCTTTTTATTAATGAAAATTATTAAAATATTAACGATTTAAATAATTCAATAACAAAAACTAAATGATAGAAAATAATTAATCTTCAAATGATAGAAAATAATTAATCTTCATTATGCTATTTAAGATAAAAAAAAATGTAAATCATTCAATTTTTTTACTTTTATTTTTTTGTAGTTTCTTCTTTTTTTTTTAAAGAGAATATTAATTTGCTGTGGCGACTAATTGCCCATATATATGCAGGAGGACGATGCCCCAGAAAGAGTTTCTCTGGCGGTGCCTCCAAGACCAGGAACAAGCAGTGGAAGTGGTCCTCAGATAAATTAATTCTGCTTATCGAATAACTGGACAAGCTTAATTGCTACCACTCCAAGTGGTTAACAAATTTAATGACTTTTTCTCAAGTTTCATCTTTTCCTTTTATTGTATTTCTGTTATGAGTTTGTGTGATGCTAGTCCAACTATAAATCAATGCATGATTTGTAAATTTTATATAGCATATAATATTTCACATGTATGCATATAAAGGAGTGTCTCAATTGATTAATAACTTGAAACTTCAAATTAAAAATGTTAAATTTGAATCCTAAAATTAATAAAAAAGGATCCCCTATTGTATAACATATCATATTTACGTATGTCATATGTGTTACTCAAAATGACTTTAAAAACCTCCATTGGCAGGGGTCAAATCCACAATTTTTTAAAGTTTGAGGTCGCCTACCTTGGGCTTCATTATTGATTAATCTAATTGCCGCAATTATTTTTTTGGCCAACTAATGCCATCATTATTAGCTAATTATGCTATATGCTTTTCTAATGCCTGCTTGTTTTTGTTTTTAATTTCCTCCCTAATGACATGATTTTGGCAAGTATTAATTGTCCTTAATCCACATGCCATGTTCAAGTTATAGACATGTCAATGAATGAAACATAACAGTGTGCAAAAAGGGTGTTAAACGAATATGGAAAAATAAATGCATAAATATCTTCTTTTGTCTCCCCACCCTTCTAATAACAATACAAGTTAGTCCCCAGCCTTTTCTTTTTGGCTATCCCCAATCAATTTTTAATTACTTTTATAGTCTCTTTAGCTTTTTTTAATCAATATCTTTCTAAGGTACCTATAATACAATACCCTAGAATCCCAAAAATTCAATTTACTGTTATTTTTGTAAGTTAGATTTAAAATTTAAATTTTAACCTTAGTACACTAGAAAATTTAATTATTTTAAAAATATTAAATTAATATGAGATTATATCTTTAAAGATATTAAAAATAAATTAATTATGAAGTTCGTATAAATTGATTTGATAACATTCTAATAACACTTTAAAGAAAATACATTACGTTATCTTTTTGTTAAAGATTCCATGCCTTTGATTGTAAATTTGTAATGAATAAATTAATACATCAAAATGAATTATTTTTCAGAGTTGTATCAGTTTAATTTCACCTTAAAAAAGAAACAAAATCCCTCCAAAATTTCCCGTAAGACAGATTATGTTTCTAACAAAAAGGCCATAGAAAACGCCTCATATTTGGATAAACCACGCATTTTGTTTCTGGTTTCTTCGCCCTCTCTTCTTTGCCTCTCTTTCTTGCTTTCTTCTGCCTCTAATCTCTCATGGTAAATCATGTCCAACATTGTGATTCTATCAATGTTAGTCCCAGGAAGAGAAACATCTTTCCTGCTCTTGTTCACCTTTACAAAACATTAGTAACGAAATGGGGCCGTCGTCATAAGAAATCATCTTCCGACGAAGAACCAAACAACATTGTTCAAGAATCTTTCCAGGTAAATTTCTATTTCTTCATAGAAGAGCATTAAGCAATGATTCTATTTTAATTATAATGACCTGAAGAAGGGTTGGAGATATCTTTTTTCAATTACATCCCTAGACTTATAATTAGATCCCAATAATGTCCTAAACCTTTTCTTCTTTTCAGATCAATTGAAGTTCTTCCTCAAATAAATAGAAAACTAAATAAAGTTCTTGGTTTGATTTCTTCTAGACAAATCTAAGATTATAGGTAATGCATTTTAGTCCTAATTCTTAAAAAAAATTAAAGTCCCAACTTCAAAAACACTACCTTTTAATAGATATTTTAAAAAACTAATGGTAACATTTAGTACTTTATTAATATAGATTATGTATATCAATTTGTAAATTAATTGAATATATATAATAAGTTCATTGATTATAAAAAATTTATGACTGTTAAATATATATTAGAAAATATAAGTTTTTTAATTGAATGATTATTAATGTTAGATCAACTTAAAAATTGACATGTATGCATGATTTATGTTAATGAAGCATTAAATTTAACAATTAAAATGTGAAAATATTCATTAGAAGAAGGAGTTTTTAAAGGTAAAACTCTAATTTTTTTTATAACATTCGAAATTGATACATACTTTTTTCATTTCATAAGATTAAGGATGAAATTTATTATTATTATTATTATTTAAATTATGGTTTTTAGGAATTTGATAGAGATAAAAAGGATCAGAAAGAAGCAATGAATGGAGGCCACAGCTTTAGATACAATGGAGAAAATATTGGAGGGGAAGGGTTCGTGAAGCATAGGAGCATGGATAATTTCTTCTCTTCTTCATTCTCGAGAACCGGAAGCCGGAGTCATCCCGACCCTACTCCGTCGATTTTGCATCGGA